GATTTTCAAGGGTAAACAGAAAAAATTGTAAAAAATGGTTCAAAATATGAGGGCAGTTTCAGCACACACCTACTTTTTAAGGAAAAACACCCTGATTTTCAAGGGTAAACAGAAAAAGCAGAAAAAATAGTAAAAAGTGGCTCAAAATATGAGGGCAGTTTCAGCAACCTTTACTTTTTTAAGCAAATCACCCCGATTTTAAAGGTAAACAGAAAAGCACAAAAAATCGTGAGAACAACCCGATTTTAAAGGCATATTTTAAAATTAACATTTTTAAGAAAAACACCCCGAATTTCAAGGGTAAACTGAAAAGCAGAAAAAATCGTGAGAACACCCCGATTTTCAAGGTTGAACAAAAAAGCAGAAAAAAATCGTGAAAACACCGTCGTTTTTAAGGTATATTTTAAAATTAACATTTTCAATATATTATAATTTACTCATTAATTATTATCAAGTAAGTAACAAAATAAATTTATGATTACTCGGAATTTCCAGAATCGGAGCTGAAAAAAAAAACAGTAAAAAATAATTTCATCTGTAAAAAAGCACATGAAGAATTATACATAAAAAATTTCATAAATTCATTTTCATACAAAGTATATTTTTCTTTCTGGCCACTTGTAAAAAATTAGTAACTGTTGATAATGATTTTACCTAACGACAGTAATTGCTTCATAGAAATCTTCTTTCGCCTCTGCGGTTCCAAATATTAGTTTGACCTTTTCACCGCATTCTGGATATCACCAAATCGAATGTATCGATTTTTTTCTAGCGTACGTTCAATATGGATATATTCCATGTGTATAACTCCCGATTTTTTGGGGACATCAAGATTGACTTCTTGCGCTGGTGAAGCCATCCCATGCTCATCAATTTTAATGGTGAGAACACTTTCCCAAACTGCGACGYCCAYTTTTTTTCGCTGTTTTCTACAAATACAGAATATTGTTAACTCGATGCACTGCTTTGTTTCAAGGTACTTACCGAAATGTACCATTTAACGTTGAAAATAACTTCTCTGATATGGCCATTACCAGCAAAAAACAGCAAAAAAACTACCACAGAACCATAGAATACACAGAACAGATAGATAAAGAAGCGACAGCGCCGTGTTAATTTAAGGAAACAAATTATGCCGATTGCGCCTCTACTGATCGGGTGTGTAACTAAGCGCCATATTGGAATGCCCCGCGTAATTTGAATAACCAGATATTTTATAGTTTGCATTAAGTACTAGTGTCGCGTCCTTATTTTCTCATAATAATTTATAATTTGTATTTAGTTAATTTAAAGAGAGCGCTGACATTCGGCCCTAGTTTTGGTTGTTAAGAAAAACAAAAAGTTGTTTATGTTGAAAAAGGTTTCGTTTATGTTTTGGTTTTTTTGTGTGAATTATTCGTATTTGTTGGAATCATTCGTCTTGAAACTAGAAAGTGATAATTTTGGAAATTGCTCAGCAGAACCGCAGATTTTAAAGAATTAGTTAAGATTCCTATCCTCCCAACCTCTTTCCCTTTTTTTTCCTATTTTCCTACTTCATCCTTTGGATTCTACGTGGGAACACTCAAAGGTAGGAATTTTCATTTACCTCTTCGTTGTCTCCGCCGCGAAACATTGGTCCTTCGAGCCGGATTGTTTAGTTTCAAAATATCACTTTCTGCGTTGTAAACATAACCTCTCTATTTCTCTCATTATAAACATAAACATAACCTCGCTTCTATCAAGTGGTGGCATTGTCCAATAATTGAAAAGGTTCTTCCACCCCAGCAAGCTGGATTTCGGCCACATAGAAGTGTTGGCATTAACAACTCACATTGAAAACGGATTTCAACGACATCTAAAGACAGAGTGTAAACAAATAGTTCGATTAATTGAAAGCATGTTGACTAATAGAAAGTTCAGAGTTTTTCTTGGAGATCAGTCGAGTAAATTTAAAACACTGAATAATGGTCTACCTCAAGGAGCAGTGTTATCCCCGATTCTCTTTAATTTATACACAAGTGACTTACCAACAACATTGTCGAAAAAATTTATCTATGCGGATGATATTGCCCTTGCTTATCAACATAAAGAATTCACTGAATTAGAACAACACCTTACAAGTGATATCAATGTTATGTATGGTTATTTTAAGAAATGGAGATTATGTGTTAACCCATCTAAAACAGAAGTCTCTTGTTTCCATCTTTGTAACTCAGAGAAAGAGAGAAAACTGAATGTCCTTATAAATGGAGTTAAATTAAAACATAATTATAACCCCGTCTATCTAGGAGTTACACTGGACAGATCTCTCACCTATAACAGCCACCTTGAGAAACTAAAACAAAAGTTAAAAACACGAATCAACATTTTATCCAAACTCGTTGGATCCGTCTGGGGGGCACATGCAAACACTCTTCGTATATCGGCTCTGGCAATGGTGTTTTCATCTGCAGAATATTGTAGCTCGGTATGACTGAACAGTGTCCACACACAGACGTCCAGCTTAACACTGCGATGCGCATCATTACTGGTACAATAAAATCTACACCAACAGATTGGTTGCTCGTCCTTTCTCATATTTCACCACCTGCACTTAGAAGAAAAGAACAACTGAAAAAGCTATGGGTGAAATACAAAGCATTTCAAGAAAATTTTTCCATCTGGGAAGAACTATTATTCCCTGAAAATAGACTGAAATCTAGAAGACCTTTTTGGACGGAAATACCACATATTGAAACTTGCAACATCAAAGATGAATGGCGCAGGCAGTGGTCCAATCTGAAAATCTTTAACAAGAACCTGGTAGAAGATCCAACTCTTGCAGTACCCGGAATGGATCAACCTAGATGGGTTTGGACGAAATTAAACAGAATAAGAACCGGTCATGCGCGATGTCGATCTATGTTGTTCAAATGGAATGCTGTTGAAAATCCAATTTGTCAGTGTAAAGAAGCAGCAGAAACCGTAGAACACATAGTTGAAGAATGCCGATTGACTAAATTAGA